CGCCCCCCCGCCGCCCCCGGCCCCCCAGGCCCGACCGGGCTTCCGGAGGTTGGAGACTCGAGGCCCAGGGGCAGCCCTGGACGCCGTCCCGCTCTGGCCGCCCCCACCGGCGCGGCCTATGCGGGAGTCGGCCAGCCTGGCGGGGCCCGCGGCACAGGTATGGCCTGGGCGAGGGCAGGAGGGAGATCCAGGGCTGGTGCCAGCGGAGTGGATGGATGGGCACGGGAATCCAGCGTCGAATGAGGAGGAAAAGCCTCCGTCATCCGACAAGTGTTTCTTCCATCCCAGTCTGCGCAAGACCATGGTGCCGGAGAACAATCCCCTCCCCAACGAACTCTGGAAAACTGAGATCCAGAGAAGGGAAGGGAGATGCCCAAGGGCACTCATAGCCAGGGCTAGACTTTGAATCTCTAGAAGTTAGAACTCCAGCAACTGCCCCCCTGAGATTTGGACAGGGGGGATGGGGCAACTGTGGGAACACAGGGTACCTCCCAGCTCTCTGACCATTTCCACCTCTGGTTCAGTTCAATAAACCCTTCCTGAGATTCTGCTTTTAGTTCTCTGATTGACTGGGCCCCAGCCCTAACCTGTACTCTCTTACATTCTCAAACACTCAAGACACTTTGGGTCTTTGGCGAACAATTTCATTTCTCTTTTGGGTCAGTAGTTGGTTCCTGTGGCAGAGCAAAGCTCCTAGAGCAGCAGAGCTGGAAGATCATCTGACCGAATCCCTAACAGTACATGTAGGGAAACTGAGGATTGTCAAACCAAGGGGACTCAGCAAATCAGTCTCAGAGCCTGGGGTAAAACACAGAGCTCAGGTATTCCAAGCATGGGTGTTTCTACTGCTCCAAGCTACCAAGCTCTTAATATGGTTTATATGAGAGTTTATCTTCGTTACCAAAAAGTCCAGCTTCAGACTTGTTAAAGAGAGGCTGCCCCAAACCATTTTCTGGATGTTGAGTCTCATCTGGCCAGTTTCATCTGCCTCAGCCTGATTTGTGTTGTTTACCCCTCCTGCACCTTTCTGGATAATGTTGATGAAAAGCACAAGGGATTCTTCCCTGCCCCAGCTCCACTGGGCTGGATTTGAAATGGTGAGAGCATTGTCATTGAGACGGGCTGTGCCAGGGTTTACAATGGTTAAATTCAGCTGGTAGCTAGTTGGTTGCTCCAGGCCAGGCAGGAATGGGGATAAGGGGAGAAACTTGTCTCCCAGAATTAAATATTACCTCTGGTCCTGATCCACTTCCCTTGGGGATGGAACTGGGAGAGGGAGGAGGGATTCTGCATTGGGTGGTCATATTTCCCCTAAGCAGCACTCGTCCTTCATTACCTGGGATCCAACTCAATATTGAATGATAATTCTTTAACAAACACCACATTGCACTCTTTTCCAAATTCCCTCCTTTTTGCATCCAGAAATTGCTAAGCTTTGCTATGGGCTTTTATTTCTAGTGGAACTATCAGAAATTAACAATTACTGTGAATAAGGAAGCATTTTAGGAAATTCAGATTCTCCATTTTCTTGGTTTCTGAGAATCAAAGTGCTGTTAACTAGTAAAGAGGAATGAGATTCAAAAACAGTGAGGAGAGGGTCCAAATCAGGAAGTGAGCAGATAATCACAGAATGTCCTGCCATCCGAGTTAGGCCCCCTGTATTTTCTATTCCTGTGGTAATAAATTACCACAAACTTAGTGGCTTAAAACAACACACATTTATTATCCAGGAATTCTGTAGATCAGAACTCTGACACTAGTCTCACTGGACTAAAATTAAGGTGTCAGCAGGGCTGCGTTCCTTTTGGAAAGATCTTAGGGGAGAATCTGTTTCTTTGTCTTTTCCAGTTTGTAGAGGCTGCTTTCATTCCTTGGTTCGTGGATTTCCCCCTCCATTTTCAAAGCCACCAAAGGCAGGGTGAGTCCTTCTCACATGCCGTCTCTCGGATTTCCTCTTCTGCCTCCCTCTGCCGCTTTTATGGGCTTCTGTAATTACATTGGACCCACCAGAATAATCCAGGATTGCCTCCTCATCGCAAGTCTTTAATCACACTTGCAATGTCTCCTTTACTACATAAATTAACATACTTACAGGTTCTGGGGGTTAGGATATGGACATATTCATGAGGTGAGGGGGGTTATTCTGCCCACCTCACCCTCTGTAACCTCCCATAGATGATTCCATGTGAAAAATCAAATGGAGAAGGAAGGAATCTTGCATGTTTACTTTTAAGAACATAACCTAGATATTAGTAAGGGCATCATTTGGATGTTAGTGACAGCATTGCTAGATACATAGTTTTCCTTTTACTCCAGTTGTGCAAAAACATCCAGATCCATCCTCCAGAAAGACTTTCTTCTTCTTTGCTCTTGATGCATAGCAATCAGGGATGAAATGAAATTCTGGAGTTGTTAAAAAAAAAAAGAATTAAATCTTTTTGACTTAGCTAAATACATGTCATACAGCATATTTCAGGCTGGTGGCTCAAAGTCAACATGCAGGATGTTTACTAGGTATATGAGATAATGTTGATTTCTGTGGTGGAAAATGTTGCCTCAGAGAGAGGCAACTATGCAGTGAAAAGTCCCTTTGGGATAGGAGTTAGGAAACCTGGAATCCAATCTATGTTCTACAGCTTTCAAGCTCTTATACCTCCTTGAGACTCAGGTTTCTCACCTGTAAAATGGGAATAAGAACAACCTCTGCATCTCTGACATCACAGGGTTGTGGTGTTGGAATCCTATGATCGCCAAAAGGTTACTGAAAGTAGAATATTATTTACTTTTCTAATTAAATACATCTAGGAATCAGGATAAAACCAAGAGGATAGTTTTCAGTTTTTAAAAGAAATCTATATAGATGC